TGTTAGCTAATGTTTTAGTAATTCCTCTTTTTGATTATTGTTGTTGTGTCTGGTCAAATTGTAGTATCCAAAATACTAATTGTCTTCAAGTCCTTATGAACAGGTTAGGTAGGATTTTACTTTCTGTTGATATTAAGACCTCTATTTTTTTTTTTCTCTTCTGTTTACTTTATTTGCTTTACGTAGAGCTGTTTATTTCTTTGGCCTATTATTTATGTTTGCTTCAGTTTTACAATACATGTTTATTTATTTATTATTGCCTTAGCATTGTAATTTATCTGTTAATTTTATTTCTTATATTATTTTTCTCTTTTTCATGTGGTAGTGCTGTTTTTTCGTTAGGCCTACCTCAGTTATTTTTTAATAAAACTAAAAAAAATAAATAAATTAAAAAAATCTGTTAACATAAATGACTTTGAATGAAACTTAAAACATATTTTGATTGATTGAAATATGCAGTAAACCATAAAGAAAATTTTGGATTTGGCAATATTTATGACAATCTCTTCATCAATGTTTTTATGTTTCTGCTGGGTATCCTTGCTGTTGTGGTGACTGTTCTTCTTCTTTTTTTTTTTTTTCCTTTCATGTTTGATCTTTTGAGGTTGCCAAACATTGTATAGGAATTTTGTTTCTCCTTGACTTCTCCCTCCTCCTGTTACTGTTCTTGAGGAAATTAAATAATTATTATTATTATGGTCTCCACATCACTTCAGGGCAATATATTTCACCATTCCCCTCATGAGCAGTCAGTATTTGTATACTATATGATAATTGAAAACCATTTATATATGTACTATATACTGTAATATGTAATAATTGAAAAGCATTTATATGTACTATACAATGTGTAATAATTTATTAAAAAGACAAAAATGAAAACCTCTCTGGCAACAAACAGTTCAAGGGAAATCGCTGATATAGATACAAATACCTGTAAATATATTGATTATATTTACACTTCCTGATTAGTTAAAAAATAAATTATAGGCCTATGTTTATCATTCTAGGCTCCGAAAAAAATGAGCCAACTTGTGGAAGGCCACTGGGAATGAAGTTTGAGGCAGAAGATCAGCTTCTTGTTGCTGATGCATATCTGGGCATTTTTCGACTGAATGTTAAAATGGGTGAGTAAATATTTTGAACCTGTTGACTGCCAAGCCTTCATTTGCTAGTTCCATCCCATAATGCAATGCATAAAGGGTGCCACCATAATATATATCATTGGTATTATTAGCAATGAAACATCATTAAATCTTTACGAGATTGTGTTCTGTTTACCTCTGCCAGCGAGTTTACTTGCAATAAAATAGCACTGTTACATTTGTACAGTTGCCCTTACTGAAACCTGTTGGATGTGAACTCGTGTCCCTGCAGCAAACATATTAAATTTTATTACAATTTTTTTTGTTTGTTACATTTATGCATTTTGTAGATGAAATGCTGATATTTGTTCCTTTCTGTTCCTGTTTGTTTATATTACAAGCCGGATCTGTAAATATTCACTTCTGAGCAATAATTCCCTTGGCTTCTGGACCCCATTGGAAACAAGTCTGATGTACAAACACAAGAGTCATGCAGGCATTGAATTATTTCTTTCTTTCTTTTATATTTTTATGTATTATCTCATAATTTTATTGTAATGTGTGTCATTGAATGCAAAATAAATCAAAATCAATTAAAAATGATTATTCTGACCATGCACATTATTAGTACATTTTGTCTCTTTGTAGGAGTGTTTAAAAATATAGTACACAGAGAGAGGTCAGCTAAGGGCAAGTATTATAGGTTCTTCAATGACCTTGTTAAGAGTGAGGATGGAACAATATTTTTTAGTGATTCCAGCAGTAAATGGCAACGAAGGGAATTTGGATATATTTTAATGGAGAACGATAAATGTGGAAGGTGAGAATTTAGAAATAGATATATTTAAGAAAAAAATTATTATTCTTTAAATTCTAAATCATCAGCGACTATTAGCCACCACCAATAAATAAATATAGATAGATAGAGAGAATTTAGTGTGATAACACAGTGGTATCTATGGTGCACAGGATTGCATGCCCCAAAAAAGGTTGCAGCCCCCACTGAAAATTTGCTGAGCACAAAAATTATGCTCAAGTAGTTTTAAAAAATCTCATATCACCTTATTTTCTTCTTCTCCTCCATCATCCCACATTCATGTCAATAGGGCCTACTTCTAAGCCATCGGCGATAAAAGGCATTGAGACCATTGCCATTCTTGCTCATTTTCTTGAATGTATATAGGAAAGCCCACAAAACTTCTGCCACAGGTGTGGTTTGAATCTTACTTTAAGAGTTTTAACTGACATTCTTCTTGGATAAGGACTCTACATTTTAGACCAATTACTCTTATTGTAAATGAGTAATTAAAGCCCCATTCCCGGCAAAATTTCAATTTTTAAGAAAAATCTAATTTTTGTATAATGTTATAAAGATTTATAAATATAATACGGAATTGCTAGTTTAACTGAATTTAGACATTCCTAAGA